GATCAAGATCAACAAAGCCGTCGATAGGCCGATCAAGATCAACAAGCCGTCGATAGACTGATCAAGATGAACAAACCGCCGATAGGTCGATCAAGATGAACAAGCCGCCAAGAGGCCAATTAAGATCAACAAGCCGCCAAAAACTCAAGGGATAGAATCAGAAGATAAATATTAGAGATTGTACGAACCTCTCAAATATCAATACAAATTGTATTTAGTCGACGAGTTATAATTTCTCTGGAAATCTCGTATAAAGAGTGTCATCACACCATGCTAGTCTAGTCTTGTGGCTAGTAATTCATTGAAGACTCGTTTGGTAACRTTTTTATTTGTTTTTTCGTTTTTTTCTTTTTCAACAAATGAAAGCAGAATCGTGTTTGGCAATATTATTTTATGTTTCTTGTTCTTTCTTTTTCTATTGTAAAATAAAATAGAAATATGTCGAGTAACTAGTCCTTGTTTCTCGTTCTTTAAAATTTTAAATTAAAATAAAGTATATTTTATATAAAATTTTAATTTTTGAATTAAATATTCAATTATGTATGTTATATTTATTTTCTGAAAATATTTATTGTCCATTTTATAAGTCAATAATGAACTTAGATTTTGTGTTTTCAAAATTTAAAAATTTTCTTTAAAATAAGAAATAAAAAACAAAAACATTCATCAAGGGCTTATATTTCCAARAAACAATAAATAAAAGACAAGAAACGGCCAACATGATYATAGCTCACCGGTAATTGACATGTACTSCTTCCCATGAAGTTGGAGGTTTGATCCCCATATTCCCGAATTGTTGCGCTCAACAAGAAAAAAATGATAAGAACGGAAAATTTCTTATTTCTTTTTATCGTTTCCAATTTGTTCCAAAACATAAATGGAAACATTGTTTTATCCTCGTCATACAACTCATTTTTCTTTATTAAAAATGAAGAAACAAAAATAAAAAATAATAGAAATGTTATCAAACGGACCCTTATTAAAACCTTCCGAATAAATTATTAGACTTGAGAGTATTTATGATCCAATATGATTCCACGACTCCACATGACCTTTACAATGATATCATTGTCTCCTACTTAGGCTCTGAACTTTATCATTATCATGTTATCAACTGTCTAATAGATGRTAGTAATACGTTAATGTAGACATGTATTAAAATTTAGAATTAGAGTSAACCTGGACATAACTAGTTAAGATTGAAAGTATATGGACCAAAAAARTTATAATGACCATGAAAGTTATTTACTAGATCTCTAGCTTACGAGACATTTTTTAAATAAATAATAAATCTGAGTTTGTTAAACCTGTTTTTCGATGTTAGTTTCTTAAACTTGTATTTATCAAAACTATATTTATTGGTAGATTATGAATTTATAAATAAATAATAGATGGTTCATATATTAATTATTTGATTGAAATAGTAAAAAATATACTAAAAAAATTGTTTTCTAACAAAATTAGGAAGTACCTTTCTGTATAAATAAAAATTGTAATACACTTGTTAGCCCAATTTTTTTCCATAATTATTTAATGAAATAAGTATTTATTTATTTTATACAAATTTATCCAACATGTAATTTACCGCAAAACAAAAGAAGTGTTATTAGTAGTTTATTTAATTATTTGTTAATTTCTTGATACGCTACCTAAATTTATTTACTAATTATCCTCAAAATTATCATTTATCAGCAGAATAAATGTAGCTTGATAAATAATTTCAGAACTAAAGAACTAAGGTAACATTTCAAACTATTGACAAAAATAAGGTAGGCTGAAGTAAAAGTCAAAAATCGCATACGATGTACGATAGTTATGCCTGTGTAGATGTACGTGACTTCCATCGAACTTGCCTACAATATATGAGAGTTCTACCCATATAGACGCGTACGACGATGTATGATGTGCAGGTGTCCTAAATCGCAGATGGTGCTTGTGATTTGGGGATAATTCGTAGCCACTAGCCGCGATATCCTTAAATCGCAATAAATGACTGCGATTTAGCTAACCTAATTTTGACAATAGTTTCAAACCTACACCATTTCTGTCATTTGTTTTTCATAAAATATTATTTAAAAAAATCCAACACAAACAAATCAAGAGTGAAATTAATCAATTGTATAAAATACATTTCTTTATTAATTAATTATGCTAATTTAACTTTTACATTCCACTCATAAAAAGAGTCGGACAAAACTATAGATTCAAAGAGATGAACTTATTTTGAAATTTAAAGTAAAATAATTTAGATTATTTATATACGTGTGATTAAAAATGTAATAATATTTATTTAGTAACTAATATYTTAAACCTGATAATTTATTTTTAATACAATTATTAATCTAAATTCTTTTTGAATAATTATTTTATGAAATAAAAATTTAATTAGTGTTATAATGAATTTTTAAAAATACATGTATAAAGCGTAAACAAATTGTATATAAATTATTGCATATAAATTTATCATTATAATTGCTCTAGAACATGAAGTTTATAACGGGGTATAAATGAATTTTGGGTTAGGTTAGTTTTTGTCAAACTCGAAATATAAATTTAAGAAAATTAAATTTGTTGATGCAGAAATTTGACTTAAGTCAGAATTAGAGTAGTCGAGTTTGAAGAATAGGGTATTTCAGCGTAACAAAGAGTAGAGATTTSTAACATCCATTCATTATGAGTATTTATCTTTCGAATATTGGAAATATTCTCTTGACAAATCCTAACACCATCAGTATATCTTCTCCTTTTAAATTCGGGGAATTCAAATTATATAAAATAGGGATTTTTTTCACCAATAACAAAACTAAATGGACGTCATGGTTACAACCGATCTAGCTAACTCGATTTGGCTAATTTCTTTATTTTTTAATCCTAGCTTTTACTCATGAAGTTTACAATTATGAAAAAATTGTCCATATATAAATTAATTATTTATTACTTGGAATTCAATTAAATTCATTTACTTATTTATTACTAAAATTATAATTAATTAAGTTTCCTATTAAACTAATATATTTCATTAAAAAAAAAAACTAATGTGTTTTAGAGGAGACTATGCATCCT